TGTTGTAAACTCTGAATTATTCTGCGAATATATTTTTAATCAAAAAACTTAGAGCAATGAATTCCATCTTGCCAGGGAGTGAGGAGTCATTTGTTAACCCATGGCAGTTTAAGAGCCCAAAAGAAGAATTTATAAGAATTTTATAATATTTATAAGAATTTTACTTTTTTACCTTAATAATACTTGGAAAACAGATAAAGATACCTAATAGCTCCATAAAAAAATTCTTTACTGTATATAAATCAGCATGGCAGGCACAAAGAAACTATATATACAGTTAAAAACATATTTTTACTCCACATAATCGTCAGGAGCTCAAGTAGTTATTAAGGTTATTTCCATTAAAATGAAGTTAAAGCTTATTTTTAAACTAGAATTCACTATCTATTTAATGGAAATCCTTTTGAAATAGAAAATAATGCTTGGATGTGGATCAAAGGCAATTGCTGCATTATAGTAATGCCTTATTTATCTGATTTTGCAGGGGAAAAAAGTATTCCACATAAGTGAAGTTTTCAGATAACTGAAGCTTAATGGAATAAGCATTTATTAAGCACCTACTAGGTGCCAGGCACTGCACTAAGCACTTTAGAAATATTATCCCATTGGAATTCAAAATCTTGTAAAAGCTAATGTTAAAAACTATCTTTACATGTAATTGGAAAAAATAAAATACTATTAAGAGAAAAAAAAAACAAATATTATCCCATGTGATCTTCACAACAACCCTGGGAAGTAGGAGATATTATTACCCCCACTTACAGTTGAGGAAAGTGAGGCAGACACTGATGAGGTAAATTATACAGGATCTCATAGCTAGTAAGTGAGTAAGGCCAGATTTGAATTCAGGTCTTCCTGACGTGAGGCTCAGCGCTCCAGCCACTAGCTGCATGTTGGGCTTGGAGTCAGGAAGATCTTTGAGCACCAAAGCTTTTTATTTCAACCATTTTTATGAGTACAGTTCTAGATCATGCGTATAATCCTAAATATTCTGAATTCTAAGTGTGTGTCACACACTTTCCTGCCCTCACACGCAGAGTAACCAAACAGTTCGGCATTCTTGAGGACTTGAGATCATCGTTATTGCTCTATAACACAAGACGGGCAGTCTGGCACGGCGTTACAAAGACGGCCTCCAAGACAGGAGGAGCCAGGTTTAAGTCCTTTCTCTGACATACTGGCTGGGGGACCTGAAGCAAGTCACGTTGGCCTTTCTTTGCCCTAGGAAACTAAGACTCTAAATGGCAGAGAAGGCGCCGACCTCCTTAGGTAGAAGGAGATTTCTCGCCAGTCCTCCGAGGTGACCCGGGGCTTTGGACTGCTTGGCCCTACGCCAGGGTACCAAACCCCGCTGCTTTCCTAGCCACTATTTCCTTCCTTCCAGGTCTGTCTGATGATGGAGAACATGGCGCCTTCTGATCTGTCCCTTGTTCTGCACGCAGTGGAGTCTGGCCCAGGTTCTTGGAAAGGTTCCCCCTCTCTCTCCTCCATAGCAGGCAGAGGATCCACTTCCAACTTCTCAGTTCTGCTTTCTCGGGGTGACTGATGTCAAGAGAAATCTGCACGGCCTCAGGAAAACTAGAATGTTATTACGGCTAAGGATCAGAGGGCCTGGGACTAGAGGTTCCCTCGATGTGCCACTGCTGCAGGGGACACAAAGGTGCCTAAGACACAGTGCCTGTTTTTAGCTAGGTGGCAC